CAACTCATTGGTGTTTAGGATAAGATGAGCACCGGTGCTCATTAGATCATTTCTGTATATATATATACTCCCTTTTCTTTTATTTATAATATGTTATTAGTATGGAGTTTTAGAGAAATTGAGTTAACAAAACTCATTCTTTTTCTGCTCACGAATCTCTATCCAAATTGAGGTTAAAAAGCAATTTCTCTTCCGTTCACACGAAATTTTAATCAAATGAGTTAATAAAGAGGCTCTTCTAATCGATTAAAGAAAATATCAATATTTTCTTAATTTTGAATTATATAACAAATGGTATTTGTTGTTTTTTACTATATCAATGGATAAACATATGTTTACTTGAATGTAAGTTATCTCTGTTTGACAATTATTATTTCAATTTTTTTTTAATTTTTTATACTCATTTTTAATCACACATATACACAATAAAATATTTTGCTTGTAAATTCAAAATTTTTTCTACACTTTAATTATATGTTCTTTAAAAAATCACTATTTAAGAATATATTTTTTTTCAAAATAATAGCCATCATACAAGGGCTTAATATTTTGGATGATATTTTAGAAGAATATTGTATTATTATTCTTGAATAAGTAACAATTAAGTCAATGTTACGAAAAAAAATATTGTAGTATTATCACGTGTCAATATTCAAAAAGAATATTATATTGTTACTTTTGAAATATATATCTTTTTATTTAGGTTGTTACATTTCGAAATAAGATTAAGTTCAAAAAGAATATCAAAAGCACGTTGATAAATAAGGCAAATAAGGATCTTTACTATAAGAAAATGTGTTACTTTCTCCTCAAATATAAAAGTCATTGGTTACTGAGCAATTAAAACAATATTCCTTATTTGAGATGATAGTTCGTGAGTCAAACGACTTCGAACCAGTGCATTGCATAGTCTCTATGTGATAAAATCAAGGAAGGGAACCGGGAATCTGATATAATGCAGGAAAGGAAATAAAGGAACTAAACTAACAGAACTGAAAATAACAGAAGAAAACAGAGGGATAGGCCTGCTATTAATAACAGGGAAGATGATGAATATCTATTCATTCATGCTTTTGAAATTACAATGTAAACTAGTCTATTTATAGAGAAAATTAGCTAACCAATTATCTAACAAACTAACAATATAACAAACTTAAGAAGGAACTAAAAGAAACTAGAATAAGCGGAAGAAGGAGCTGAATTCTGGCGGGAATTATAGTTGAAGGAACCAGCATTTTATTTCCAGATTCTGCTGTGTTGCTACTGAACGTGGGCTGCTGGTCTGTTGGGCTGATTTATATTCCAACACTCCCCCCTCAAGATGGAACATCTTGAACCGTAGAGAAAGGGAGTAGAGATACAATCAAGGAGCATCTTGTTTCGAATCAATTTCAATTTTCTTCAATTCCATTTAAAGCTCCATTTCATTTTGAGCTAATGGAGTTTTGTCAGGAGACATCTTGTCTGCCTTTTCTCGGTTAATCTTCCTTCTCTTTTGAGAAGGAATATCTTCAAAATCACTTGATTCAGAAGATCAACCAATCATTTTCTGAAGATCTGAGAAGCTGTCATCCTAGCAAGTTCGATCTTCAATTCCATTTCAATTTCGTTCCGATTTCCTATCTGGGAATAAATCAATCATTTTGTGAAGATTCTATCTTCAATTTCCGGTTCAGTTTGGTGAAGAGGAAGAACATCTCTTCAGTTTTCATGGACTTCCATTTCTCAGAAGGATAACTGAGAAAAGTAAGGAAGAATATCTGTAGAAAAAAGGAACTGAAAATACAGGGATTTTTTTCTGCTCTGATAAATTGCAGGGAAGCTGCTCTGGAATTTTTTTTTAATGAGATGATAACCTACTCTGATACCATGAGAAAATCAAGGAAGGGAACCGGGAATCTGATATAATGCAGGAAAGGAAATAAAGGAACTAAACTAACAGAACTGAAAATAACAGAAGAAAACAGAGGGATAGGCCTGCTATTAATAACAGGGAAGATGATGAATATCTATTCATTCATGCTTTTGAAATTACAATGTAAACTAGTCTATTTATAGAGAAAATTAGCTAACCAATTATCTAACAAACTAACAATATAACAAACTTAAGAAGGAACTAGAAGAAACTAGAATAAGCTGGAAGAAGGAGCTGAATTCTGGCGAGAATTATAGTTGAAGGAACCAGCATTTTATTTCCAGATTCTGCTGTGTTGCTACTAAACGTGGGCTGCTGGTCTGTTGGGTTGATTTATATTCCAACACTATGAAACCATTTTCAATATTAATATATTATAACTTCGTATTACTTAGCATTGTATCAAAGTTTAATTAAATTTACCTTTAGGGCATGTTTGATTTCTATTAATTTATTTTATGATTTACTACAAAATCATTTTCAATCATATATTCGCACAATAAAATATTTTACACGTTCTCCAAAAACTTTTCCTTACTTTTTAACAACATATTCTCCTAAAAATATTATTTAAAACTCTTTTTTTTTTTCCGTTAATGGGAATCAAACGTGTACTTGATTTTAAAAATGTTTCAATCAAATCACCGTACTTTGATTGAATTTCAAATTCAATCGCTTTATTAGATATCATTAATGCAGTTAATCTGATTTTCGTGCATAAGCATTGAAATTAGCAATTTTGCTATATGTACACCAGACACTCGGTGTACTTCCCCCTTCACAATAGGGGCCTCACGATTTTTTTTATTGGATGTGACCCCCCTCATTGTGAGAGGAGTATAAATCGAGGCATACAAATAGCAAAACCATGAAATTTATAAAAATTGGGATTATGATTGCAATTATTTGGAGTCATTTCAAAATTGGACCTCATACTCTTTCAATCGCAATCATAGTCTTTAATATACAATTTATTTCGAGTCATATAGATGTGGAGAAGTACTCTTTCAATCGCATCAATATCTATCAAGGTAATTGTAAGGGATTGTGGACATATTTTTGCAGTAATCTTAAAATCAAATTTGCAATGTTTATATTTGTAATCGATATTATAATTTGTTACCATTGCATTTATTCGTGACCGTCCAGTTATTCTAATGTATAGCGTGAATGTGAATTAACACAATTGTGTTGTTCAACAGTGATAAGAGTCCTGGACATTTACTAGTTGTACGAAGGTCATTGTTCGCTAAATTCGTATGCTGCAAGTGCACGGGTCGAGAACAAGTAGTAAAAGTAGACCTTTAGAGTCCGAGTCGATCCCTCAGAGAGTGTGGAATTCAATTCGACGTTTATCAGTCTCAATTTTAACGAAACACACACAGATTTAAAAATAGATTTAAAATTCCTAAAAACTACAATTTAAATTTAAACTAATAAAATGACAGATAAAAAGTAAAAAGATTTGGTTTTTTAAAAAAATGTTGGAATTTACGTTTTCGCTTAACCTATACTTCATTAATGTCAATTCGATCA